ATAATAATAATAATGATAATAATAATAATAATAATAATAATAATAATAATGATAATAATAATAATAATAATAATAATAATGATAATAATAACAATACGTTGTTATGAGTAATGGTTTTACCTGCTGGTATGTGTTGTGAAAGTTGTTTGAGCTCACTGGGCATTCGAAAGAGTCGGCGAAGCAGAGAACTGTTGAATAAAAAACATGCTAATGAACAGGGCTAATGAAAACAATATCATGCTTTTATTTGATCTACATGCACTTAAATGAAATAGGTGCGGTATACCCATTTACCTGCGATACGATGTTCAGGGAGATGTCGTACACTTATCACCTGCCCAACCGACAGATATCCAGAAGGCCACCATATGGCACAATGCTAAGAAGTACACACTTCATGCGACTTGTCTGATCTGCAAGCAACCAACTACGAAAAAAAACGTTTGTGCAGGTGACTTCAAAGGCCACCCTCCTGAATGGGGCTACACCAGGTACAACATCACAGGCCGAAAGATCGAAGAGCTAGGTACAACCAGCAACCTATCTGTGCTGCAAAATGCCAACTCCACTCCTACCTTATTTCACAGAGCCCACTTGACTCTCAACCGGCCTGATCTCACCATCTGCTCATCTGACATAAAAAAGCTCCTATTGCATCGAAGGAATTGATGACATAGGAAGTGATCACAGGCCTATTTTTACACAGATCACCTCTCCACCAGCCCTGAACCACCCTCGGATGACTCGATGGAACTTTAAGAAAGCCAACTGGGCAGAGTACACAAAGACCTCTGACAGTTAAAAAAGCCAAAAATGAAAATTAGACTCAGACTTGCGAAGATCTCGACCATCACACAATGGAATAAAGGCTTGGTCCCTTGTCAGAAACCTCTCGGGTGAAAGACAGAAAAGTATCCTCAAACCTATTTTCTTTCAGGCAGCACCATCACAGAAGACCAGAAAAAGGCAAAAAATTTTAACGGATATTTCACTTCAGTAAACAGGGCAAGTAGTCTAACTGAGGCCGATGGACTCCTCATAAACAAGGCTAAGCACGAAAACAAAGCCCCTACCGTGAACAACACCTTTTTCAAGTAGGACTTCAGCATGATGGAACTCAGACACGCTCTCAAAAGGTCATAGCAAAAGAAAGCCCCAGGACCAGACAAAATACACAACGAAATGCGGTGCAACCTGGGCGCTAAACCACCTAGAGAAGCAAAGAGCCACTGATCTATATCACTAACATCATGTATCGGTAAGCTTGCCGAAAGATAACAATCGCCTTTACTGGTACCTGGAGAACACAAACAGCTTGAACCTATACCAAGCAGGCTTAAGAAAAGGCACCAACACGGGAGATCAACTTTTCAAACTAAGTCATGAAACCCAGAATGGTTTTTAGGAGACAAAACACACAGTCACCATCTTTATAGGCCTCCAACAGGAGTAGGAGAGAGTGTGGAGAAAAGGCCTACTCATGAAAATGGTGGACCTCGGGATACACGGAAAACTTTATAAATGGATTAAATTTTACTAAGCGGATCGAAACATCGAAACCAAAGGAACAGTGCCAACTCATCAAGAGAAGTACTTGAGGAAGGTCTACCCCAAGGTTCCTGTCTGAATTGCACTTTGTTCCTGATCTTCTTCAATGGTGTAACGAAGGTGCTAAAATCTTCAAAGACTCTCTACGCTGATGATCTTGCTCTCTGGCAGACACGTCGCAGCTCATTAGTACGAACAGGGAAATTAAATGAAGATCTCCGGGGGCTCCACAATTACTGTCAGAAGTGGAAGCTCAAAATAAACTGCACGAAGACAGTATGCATCATCTCTACAAAGAGCCATAAAACAGCCAAAGAAAAGCTCCAACTGAAGATAGGAATGAAAATCCCCCCCAAAGAAAAACAAGCAACAAACCTAGGAGTCAAACTTGAAAAGCCAAATGTCTAGGATACAGATCAAGGCAAAAAGAAGACTCCTACTTTTAAAGAAACACGCAAGCAGTTCATTGGGATCAGACAAACAGACTCTGGGACCTCTGTACCTTGATTATGTCAGATCTTCCCTGGAATACAACAGTAGCCTACTTACTTTGTAAAGCACAACAACCTGCAACACCCTTGACAAGGTCCAAAATGATTCCTTCGTTTCGTGAACGGTGACATGAGATCTACACCTATTGCCGCATGTGAAATTCTTTAAAATGTTGAACCCATGGGAATTCGCAAAGATAAAGCAGTTTTGGAAAGAACCAGAAGATTGTGCCACAAACCACACAAACAGGAAATTAGTAGAAACATGGAAATCAAAGAAACGACTTCACCAAAAATCAACCGTGCATCACATCACAGAACTAAAGGAGAGTCACCATCTACCACAAAACAGAAAAGAAACCAAAATAGTCAACCAAACATCCCTCCCCACATTTCTTTGAAAAAAACCCAACAATCACTGTGACATCTCTCAGAGACAGTAGCACAACGTCTTCAGATCCAGTGATGCTGATGCTTGCAACATATAAAACTATCGACAACTATTCAGATAACTGGATGCACGTCTATACAGACGGCTCAGCATGCAAAGGCAAAACCAAAGCCGGATATGGAATATAAATACACTACCCAGATGGACGTTCTAATGATATCTCTGCAGCCTGTGGAGAGAAATGCAACAACTACGATGCAAAAATGATGGCAATTGAAACAGCACTACACCATCGTTGCACAGTTTTTGACTCTCATCCAAACAAAACGCAGAAAATTGTGATTTTCACGGACTCGCTATCAGTCTTGCAATCGATAGAAAATGTCCGTCATCTAAACAAAGACTTGACACAAATACTGTTTGGCTCCCATCACCTGATAACATCCTGTGGCGCCAACATGATGATGCAGTGGATTTCCAGACACTCAACAATACCTGGAAATGACAGAGCAGACAGACTCGCTAAAATGGGATCTAGACAGGAACAGCCCAACACTCCAACCTCATACAGCACTGCAAAACAAATCATTAAAAAGCAGCAGCAAACAAGATTGGATAAACAGGTGGGCCTTGGGAAAGACAGGCAGAGCAGTTTTCAAACATAAATATGACCACAACAAAACGAAACGACAATATCAACCACTTACAGAGAAAGAAACAGACAACGATCTTCCTCCTACGAACAGAACATAATATACAGCTCAACTTTCACTTGAACAGAATAAAACCAGAAATTCCTCAATGTGTCCTCTGTGTGAGTATGCATATGAGACTGCGGGTCATCATCTTTTCCAATGTACCGCCCTTAATGACATCAGAGCTACACTTCTCTCTCCGAGACCTAACATTGATAACGCACTCTATGGAGCATTACAGCAACTGCAGCAAACCAGCACTTATCACTACATGGCATTGGACTGAAGGGTGAGAGCCCAGCTGCTCCGGGATCGATAACAACTACAACAATAATTAAAATAGGAAAAGTGAAACTCATAAAGAAGAGAGAAAGTCAGACACTGTGGAACTGGTAGAGAAGCAGGCAGGGGAGGGGAGGGGAGGGGAGGAGAGAGAGAGAGA